TCTTCCGTTCATGTCACGAGTTTCACAAATGCAGGATCTGATTTGTAACTGGAGCTCCGCCTCCTTCGGTGTCTACTATTAGAGCCTCAGTTCATTATAAACATCTCTCCTCCAGGATCATCAGACAGGAAGTAGATCTGTTGCACAGAGGTGGTTATATGTAATGAGAAGGTTGTTTCTGCTCTGGTTGTGCAGCATGTGTGCGGGCCGTGGAGGACGTGGACATGTTGGCAGACCTACAGTGCGTAGGTAGCTGCGCTGTAGTTACACAACTGAGGACAAAGCTGTGGGCTGGATGAAGAACACATGAAGGCTTCATGTTTGTAGATGTTGCTCCAGCGCTGGGCCACGTGGGCAGAAATGATATCTTCATATATTTAGTCTGAAAGACGTCTTTGTTTCCAGTATTTCAAAAGAAATCCTTTTCACTCAGTTGGGAATATTCTGTCAGGTTTCACGTCCTCCTGTGACCTTCTGTGGTTATTCGATTTGATTTGATTGATATGAGCACAACAGAGGAAGCACCAAACTGTCTGAAAAGCTCTGCAAAGTGTCCTCATACCCTCTGCTTCCTGTCCAGGCACCGTCCTGATGATGTCGCTGTGCGAGGTGGTGCACGTGTACGAGTTCCTGCCGTCCCGGAGGAAGACGGAGCTCTGCCATTACTACCAGCGTTTCTACGACGCCGCCTGCACGCTGGGCGCCTACCACCCGCTGCTGTACGAGAAGAACCTGGTTAAGCGCATGAACCAGGGCGCCGACCGCGACATCTACACCAACGGACGCGTCACGCTGCCCGGCTTCAGGAAGCTGAACTGCAGCCAGACTGCCGGAGGAGACCGCTGACTGCATCGACGCACAACTCTGAGTCCTGCATGAAGATGAGCCGACGCATGCAAACCTCATCCTCACTACTGAACCACGAAGAGCGCTCTATAGATATTTCATGCTGTTAACACACACACTGGAGTCCGGTCAGCTCATACATGTGCTGCTGTACACACACCCGTGAGGTCATTGACGCGTGTTCCTGAGTCTAAATCATCATCATTCGATGCTTCTTAGTTGCCCAAATTTTGATGCTCATGTTGACCTTAAAGGATAATTCTGGTGGTTTTCAAGCAATCTCAGTGATTGCCTTTAACTCAGGGGTGGGAACTCCAGGCCTCAGGGTGTCCTCACCCTGGGCCAACACACCTGAATCAAGTCATTAGCAGGCCTCTGGAGAACTTCAAGACATGATGAGGTCATTTAACCACTTAGATCAGCTGTGTTGGATCAAGGACACAATAGGCTGTGTCCCAAAACGTCGGCTGCATCCTTCG